TTCTGCTCCAGTTTTACTGACCTGTGAAAGAGAAAGAGCCACAGAGAGTGGAGATATAATATCATTCTCAAATCTATTTTGTAGTTTTATTATGACTATGTCAGGGATTTTGAACTATAATTCTTACAAAACATAATTATTGATCATATATAGTGGGATACAAAAGGCTGAGGTAATACTGCAAATATAATCTAATTTAAAACCGGGAAATTAAGTTTTAGAATTTTGAAAAACAAAAATAATATAAAGACAATATGATAAAAGATATCTTATTTTATATTAATATTATAAATAATTAAAATTATATAAAGTAAAAAAGAAATGTTATTAAGTTAAATATGCCCTTTTTTGTTATTTTTGTATTACTTCAGATACAAATAGAGATAAAACAAAGGCAACAGCAGAATATAAAAAAATCAATAAAAGCATGCCTTTTCACTTCCTGCAAGATCCACCAGGTAGAGTTTTCCGCTCAGTTTCTTCTCTGTTTCCACATTCTCCTGCTTAATATTAATGAGGAAAATGCTGTGACTGCGGGAGCTGTGCTCATTCATGTCTGTAACACAATGTAACATCAGAGGACCATGGGTTAGGGTAAAAACAGTGTGGCACAAGGTCAAGATAACAGCACTGTGTATTAGTTATGTTTGATTCAAGATGTGATGTGTTATATCAGGGAATAAGGAATAGTTACTCACTTGTAACAGCCACGTGACGATTGGATTTACCCTCATCGATCACATCCATGACATCCTCTGGACTGGACACAAAACGCTCTGTACAACCCTGGCAATGGAACAGCATCAAAAGACACAAGACATCAAGGAAGTGTTTGCCTCATGCCTGGTGATACTGCAAAAATACTGCATTGTACATCTTTCCTACCTTGACAAATGGCACCCTGTTCTTATCCTCATGGACAGCCAGGTTGGTTTTGGAAACTTTAGAATTGGATAACATTGGACAAATTGAATTTACATCATGAAAAATTCTTAATAGTATGAAGAAGAATGTGATTGTTTTTTATCTCACCATCAAGCAAGTCTCTGATTTTGTCCAGGTAGATTTCAAAATAAGAGACCTGTGATAAGGGATGACCATTAATTTAAAAAAGGTTTTATTTAAAAAAAATATTAATAATATTATTTAACAAAACATTTAAAAATGCTCATCAAAGACATAACATAGGAATTATAGTCTACCAAAAAAGAAAAAAGAAAAAAAAGGGAAATGGAGGATTATTAGCTAAAGATTTGCACTTGTGTATAAAAAAATTAAAATTTAGCAAGAATAATAAATAAATTATCTGAAGTACTGAATATCAGAGTTTAAAAATAATATTCAAACTGTTTATACATATTCAGATTTTTTTTCTCATGTAGACACTTGTTCCAAAAACAAACAAACAAACAAATAAATAAAATAAAAACACATTCTCAAAAAAAAGAGACACAACTGTCACAGAGAGACCTTTTTTTCTCAATACTTTGAAAATATTTATTAAGTTTGATACATTGGTACCATCTATGTAATATTTTAAATGTGACTGCTTTTATCTTATCATAAATATTTGCATTGAAGAGACCAAACCCAATTCCAGTTGACATTGAATAGTACTATACACTGAAAAGAAGATGCTGGAATAGATTTTCTGTTGATATGGTAGTGAACAAAGATTTCGCTCTTCTTTCAAAAGTTTTTATACCACTATAGCACTGACTACAATATTATACTCCTTTAATGAAGCCCCATGACCAGTCCAATAACTAATTAACATAACCTATAATTGAATATGCTGTATATTACTTTATGCCAGAGAAAAAATCCACTAATATTTATTTTTCTAGACAGCTAAGCTTTTTTCTCTCGATTTGTTAATATACAAATATTATTAAAAACAATATAGAATTTGATGGTTTCACATGGGAAATACACAAGCAGATTTAATACTGAATGTTTTCACCTTGATATGGAACTCCAGGTTCTCATCCATAGAGTAGATG